TTCTGCCTTCCCCATTAACATTTCTGCCTGCCCTTTTTACATTTCTGCCTTCCCTTTTTACATTTCTGCCTTCCCCATTAACATTTCTGCATGCCCTTTTTACATTTCTGCCTTCCCTTTTTACATTTCTGCCTTCCCCATTAACATTTCCCCCTTCCCTTTTAACATTTCTGCCTGCCCTTTTTACATTTCTGTATGCATTTCTGCCTCATTATGCAAATGAGGAGAGGGTGTGTCCTAGAGAGTCAACTTCTGCTCATTGGTTGGCTTGGCGGCCCATCTTCTTAACTCACAGAGCTCAGAGTACTAAGTTAAATGTTCTCTTTTCTGTTGCTGTTGTTCAATAAAATTACGTTTTAAGATAATTTGAGGCGAGAACATTATACTTTTAAGCATCACCATATGGCCCATTCACAGATTTAATGCGTCATTTAAAGGAAAATGTTCCGAACTTGAGAGGACCGCGGCAACCAGCGGAGCTCCGCAGCTAACGGCAGCCAGGTCGAACCGCAGCAGGTCTGCAGCGGCCCTCTCTCGGCATAGCCGTGTGTGAAGGACCGCTGGCTATGATGGCACTTTTTCGTTGTATTTGGCAAAGTCCCTACTCGCGTTCTAGTTCTAGTCATTAGAACGCTGCGGTTCGACCTGGCTGCCGTTAGCTTCGGAGCTCCACTGGTATTTGTTGGCAATTAATTGTATGCTTATATATCTATTGAGCATTTATTTATTTCTGTATTTATTTTTAAATATGGCAGAGTTGGTCCTCCATAAAGTAGGTACTCACTAAATCACAAAAAAATACTGCAGTTCTTTTCCACCTGCTCTAATAAAAAACTAAGCATCTCATTTCTTAATTCAACAACTGAACAGTTTGATTTTCTGTTGATGATGACATGATGATGATGTCGGAGTTTATTACACCTTAATATTAGCTGCCTATTCATGTCAAAACTGTCAAAAATGTTTTTTTTTCACAATAGTTTATCTAATTAGAACAGTTCCTCTGTCTGGATATACAGATATAATCTTCATTCTGTACGTGGCAAAGATCTGTCAATGGAATGAGAGCGGCGTCCTTCAGCTAAGAACAAAGTGTAATGGATGTCCACTCCTCTGCTAACATGTTTGATGTAATGATGTGATGATGTTGCAGACTGGAGATGTATAAAATGCCTTTTGAACTGCTCACCTCCAGACTCACCTCTCAGGAAGTGGCCACGATTAACAGTTAAAAAGGCATTTTATACATCTCTAGTCTGCCACATCATTACATCATACATTAAATTGTGTAAAAAGTAACTAAATATCATTAAGTAAATGCCAAAAATGGTTGCATTATATTTTTTCAGTGTCTCAAAATTGTACAGTTTGTTCTTAGCCGAAGGACGCCGCTCTCATTCCTTTCTGAAATCTTTGGCATGTGCAGAATGAAGATTATAAATGTATATCCAGACAGAGGAACCGTCTCAATTAGATTAACTATTGTGGGAAACATCAGTTCCGACAGCTAATATTAACGTGTGATAAACTCACAAATCATCAATGATAATTATCCTAGCAGTATTATAGATCCTAAACTTTTATATGTTTGAATATTCTTTCGGGGGCCTAATTGAAATTATAGAAAATAGTTTATTTTGATCTCTCTGTTTTAAAAATGCTTTCTGCATTTAGGCCAGTTTAACAAATCAAATAAAAGCAAATTTGGTTGCAGAAAAGTCTGATTTTTAATAAAAGTCACATAAAGGTCCTATTTACTATGAAACTAAATAAATTAATTTTAAGAGGTAGTTTTTTTGTGTGTGTGTTTTTGTTGTTGGTGTACCATGAATGTTTTAAAGTAAGATTTTAATTTGTCAGTAATAAATTTGCCCTAATTCTAATTTAAAAGAAGAGAGGGGGTTAAACCTGAAATGCAGTCTGTGGGCTGCACAAAATCAGGATGAAAATCAAAATTTTCATCCTTAGTTTGGATTGAATGGCTCGTGCACATTATATATTAGTCAACAAAAGCTTATATGAGCTATTAGAAATATTAATTGAAGATATTATAGGGAAGAGAATGAAAATATGTTGATATTTATGGCTTGTTTTTGCAGTCTGAGATGCTAACTCATACAGCCTTGAGCAAAGCAGAGCCTGCACCATGGAAGGTCCTTGTACCTCATCATAGTTAATGACAGTAGCAGCAATGTTTGGTCCAAGGAGTCTGCTCGCTGTTTTCCCCTGATTACTCAGCTTCTACGAGAGGACAGGGATGGATGAACACCAAAGACACACAAATGGTACAAACATGTACGAGCAGAGAAAACAAACAAGCTGCAACTACCAGCATGCATTCTGTATGTTGTTACTGTGTGTGAAGAGACAGTGATGACTGACATGGATGATGATGGCTTTGAAGTGAAGGGGGTAATGCATACATGCAGCACCCTCCAAACCTGTTGACACACCCGGTAAAAATGATGACCTTTTTTTCAAGTTTAAGGCTGAGGTCACAGGATTTAAATTCGAAATGTCCCAATGTGTCAAATTGTTCATGCTTTCTAATCAGGCATCATAGATCAGCTACTATACATTGCAACAGGCAATTGAACCTTTTTTAAATTTCACAACAGAACCACCTAAAGTGGGGCAAAAAATATTGAGTCAGACACTGATTGTGAAAGTTCTTCTACTTAGAAAGATGAGAAAGGCTTGTATTTTTTTTTTTTTTTTTTTTATCAAAGGTAGAATTGAACTATGAGACAAAATGAGAAAAAAAAATCTGCTAAGGGTCATCTGACATTTGCTAGAGAGCTTGTGGATGATTCAGAAAAGGATTAGGAGAACAATAGGTGGTCAGATAAAAAAGAAAATAAACATTTTAGCTCAAACTCAACTCATCAAACCTACTGTGAAGCATGGGGGTGGAAGCATTATGCTTTGGGGCTTTTTTTCTTTAAAGGGAACAGAACGACTGATCGTGTTAAGGGAAGAATGAATGCACTGGAAAAAATCTAATCTAGATAAGTCATTTTTTCTTAAAATAAGTGAATTTGTTCTTGGATGGAGGAGGTAAAAGATACATTTTGCCAATGAAACAAGACAATTTACAGTTAAAATAAGAAAAAACAACTGCATTGTCTTATTTCAAGTGTATATTATCTAATTATCTTATTTTAAGAGTAAAAATACTAATTCCATTGGCAAACTATATCATTTACCTATTCAAATTAAGGGTAAATACCCTTAATTTAAGAACTTTTAACTTATTTCTGAAACATTTTTCCAGTGTGGCGGTGATTTATGGAGAGATTTTAGGCCCATACCTGCCATCAGTGAGAGAGTTAAAGAGGGTTGAACTTTCCGCTGGACAATGAAGGAGCAGCTGAATTAAAAACATTTCATAAAAATTAGTAGAGGGAGTTGAAGGCCTGTTTTGCCTAGCAACGCCCCCAAAACATCACAGCTCAGGAGCACTGGAAAAAACGATCTAGAAATAAGTAGACATTTCTTAAATTAAGTGTATTTACCCTTAATTTGAGTAGGTAAATTAGATAGTTTGCCAATGAAATTAATAGTTTTACACTTAAAATAAGATCATTAGACAATGCAATAGTTTTTTAACTCAACTCAACTCAACTTTATTGTCAAATGTGCTACATGTAAACATACAACACAGATGAAATTTCCATCCCCTCAACCCCACGGTGCATAATAAAATATAAAAATATATATATATAAAACTTACTTTAAGTTTAAATTGTCTTGTTCCATTTCCAAGATGTCTCTTTTACCTCCTCAATTAAAGACAAAATGCACTTATTTTAAGAAAAAATGACTTATCTCGATTTTTTCCAGTGAGATTTGATGGAGGAACAGAGCAAAATAGCAGCTACATTGTGAAAACCTGGAGGAGACTGATGGGAAATCTTTGACCTCTGTTACTGTCAACAAAGTTTATTTTTAATTTTAATTTTGCTTATCGACCAAACAATCATTTTCCACCATAATTTACAAATAAATTCTTTTAAAATCCTGAAATGTGATTTCCTGGATTTATTCACCCCACCCCCCCATAGATCAAGCATCTAGTCTCTCATCTTTCTAAGCAGGTGAACTTCAGGGGTTGAATAACTACTTTTTGGCACCGCTCTATTCGTCACCAACAAGATGAATGAATCCTCTCTATTGACCGCTCCATATTATGCTTGTAAAGGTAGGACAAATAAAGGCTTTCTCTTTGATTTGACTCCCTAATCTTGAGCATGTAGATGACTAACGGATGTAAGGAGACTTGGTGAACCCAGCCTGCACCTCTTCACTACCGTTTTGTCGTTAGATGAGTCAGCAGGATAATGAACCAAAGCATATAGACTCAGAAATGGTTCATCAGACACAAAATCTGCTTTCCTCCTACCATCAGACCTAAATTCTTTATAGGATTTTTAAAATTTGCATGACTAAAGAGATTCTTAGGGGGGTTGATTCTGTTTCTTTCTCTAAAATGTTCATGTTATGTCCTTATGTGGGATGTTTACATCAGTCCTGGTGCATGATTTTAATATGTGAAGCATAAGATTAACTAATAGCTTGCAGAGAAAGAGAAAAGAGAATTTCAAGTCATCCAGAGATTAGCCAGTACCTGCTGATGTACCAATTGAGGAGCCTCAGTTTTAAATCGGAGTTTCTTCTGGATGTCCTGTAGGAGAATCTCCTTGCTTTCATGGATGCCTCCAGTTGATGGCAGACGTGTTTTGGGGGTCTTCTTTCTGACCCTGCAGAGACAGAGGATAAAGATTTAGTAAAGATTTTTATTCTCATGTCCGTTAGTCCGGGGGAACTTACCCTGATGGAGCTCCTTTGGGAAGGCCCATTGAGTTGGTGGGCTGACTCGGGGTCAGAGAAGGCAGGACGGAGCTGAGGAAGGCCACCGGGTTCTGAATGGGGCTGGGGGAGGAGGTGCTGGAGGTAGGAGAGGAGGCCTGAGGGGGGGACTGGGCTCGTAGGCCGGGTGTGCTGTTCAGGAAGGGCCCCTGCCCCGGAGTGGGTGACGACAGGTTGGATGGAGGGCTGGTGGGGGACTTGAGAATTCTTGTAGGGGAGAATCTGAGTGGTGGAGAGAACGGCGGGGGGATCGGGGAGCTGGTTGCCGAAGAGTTGAGCCCAGCAGCCAGCTCTTGGAGCAGAGGAACCGGGGATTCTGTGGGAGAAGGACTCCTGACAGGTGAGAAGGTCTGCGCTGCTATGAACTCCTTAGGCCGGGTGTAGTTGAAGGAAACGGCTGTCAGGTTCATGAGGGAGGCGTGGGTGCTCCTGAGCTGAGGAGTTGGAGATGTGATCTGCAGCAAGGTGGAGGCTGAATCTGATGGAACTGTGCTGAGCTTGGGTGCAGGGGGGGAACTGAAGCTGACTTTAGGTGCAGCTCTGCTCACAGCTGCAGGGGACAGGTTCAGATGGGAGGAGTGGAAGGTGTTGGTCTGACCAACCAGGGGGGGCGTGCTGAGGTGAGGAAAAGGAGGAGGGGTCCAGGAGCTGGAGCTAAGTGCTGGGGGGGAGCTGAACGAAGGAGCAGGAGGTGCGGTGGAGCTGAGTGGAGCCGCAGATGGAGGAACATGATGTGACTGAAAGGATGACCCCTGGGGTTCACGGTGGGTTCTGGCAGACCACAGCTGAGATTCTATGGGACCCTGGACCTGGAATGGGGGTTGGGACTGCGGTTTGGCGTGAGGTTCATTTTCCTGCTGCTGCTCCATGAGGACCTGGTTGTGCAGCAGCTGGAGCTGAGCCGGGTCCCTGTGGATGACAACACAGTAACAATTACGCATGAACAGGTCCCCCTGAGGGAGCATCAGAGCCCTGCACCCCCCTTTCACTCTGACCTTTTATTGAGGTTTTAATAAAAATAAAAAAAAACATGTTTCAATAGAAAATAAATCAGGATTCCTTCCAGTGTTTCTTCTAGTCTTTATCCATCTCTAATAAGCAATCCCACAGCATGATGCTGCCACCACCTTGTATCACCATTCAGGTGGGGTTTTCAGGGTTCTGTGCAGTCTATATAGGGCAAAAAACATTTAGCGCTGATCCTATTTGACCAAAACACCATTTAAGGGGTTTCTAGCAGCTCCTCCCAAGATAATTAGTGCCTTATTCACTTATCTGATTATTGCTCTCCTTATCTTATAGATGTGCATTACCATGTATAGTGTTTTCTAAAAATAACAGTGAAGTTTAACTTTGTCGTTATGTAAAAAAGGCTCAAGAGGAGTGAATACTTTTGCAGAGCTATGTGTGTTTTATTCATGCAGTGAACCTGATTAAATATGGAGCATGCATGAGGAATACAGAGGTGTCCTTTTATGGAATCAACACAAACAGAACCACCTCGGCTGAAAATAAGATTCTCTTTCAATGTCGGTGGATTTTAGCTCTTCTTTATCACCTCTTTCTTGATTTTTTTTTTTTTTTTACAAGCAGTAAACTTTTATTTTAAACTGTAATCGTAAATTAAATTAAAAAACAGTAAAATAAAAATGTAACAACAGTTTTAATCCACATCGCTGCTATAAATGATAGAAATAAAAAGAAGCAAACTTACAAATAAAAAACTCCATCCTTTGTTTTAGAAAGCCTGAAGACCTGCATTTTCTGTCTGCATGTGAGAGTTTAAGAGCTTTAATGCTTATAGCTGCTGTCTGAGGGGGTGTCGGAGGAAACGACCGCCTCCTCTGCTGCTGTTACCACATCCCTCAGAGTCCCAGAAAAGACAGGACACTCTGGATCCCTGGTGAAAACACCCCCTACCCACACCCCCTCCTGGTTCTACTCACAGTTTGGGTTTGGCCAGCACTGGTGGAGGCTCTTTGCTGGACAGTTCCAGATTGAGGTCTTCATCAGAGTTGTGAGAGGTGTCCCCTTGTTCGTCCTCCTCATCCTCGGGGAGTTTGAAGTGCACTCGCAGGCCGACTCTGGAGCTGGAGCGGGAGTCTCTGTGGTTTGTCAGGGTGCCTGTTTTCAGGCAGGAGTTAGGCGGAGGGTCGGGCAAAGGGACCACACCAGAGCTGCCGTTAGGGGGGGTCAGGGCGGCCTTAGCATGGGGGCCTCGGTCTGAAGGTCCAGGCGCCTTCTGCTCAGACGTATTCACCACTGCAGGGGAAACAGTGAAGGGTCTTTGACTGGAGAAAATCTGCCTTTGGCTCTGGTGATCATGATGTGCTCCACTGGGTCCCTGCAGCTCCCGGTGGACGGAGGCTGCACTGAGGTTCAGGATGGAGGGTTCCAGACGGAGGGTGCTGGTGTTTAAAGGTTCCAGGCGTAACGTGCTGGAAACCAGCGGTTCAAGGCGGACGGTGCTGGCGTGGGGCTTGATGCTGCCACTCACTGTAACCTCTGGTTGACAGTTCACACCCGATGGGGTGAGCTCTTGGCTTCGGCGGGACTCTGACTGTAAGCCACTGAAAGGCCTCGCATGGGAGCTGCTGCTGCCATTGGCTGAAGAACAACACAGATTAAGATTTATAAGTTTAAATAAAAAAAAAGCACATCTTTCAATTTAAAGTGGAAGTTTTACCTTGGACCCTCAGAGCAGCAGTGCTGGATACTGTTCCATAATTGTTGTTGGCTGTGCAGGTAAACATCCCTGAATCCTCAGGAAAAACCTCAGCTATGACCAACGTGCATATTTCCTCTGCAAGAAAAAAGATTAAAAACCGTGCATGGTGTCAAACGGTTCAGCATTGCGTTTTTCTGTACACCATTGAGCCAGCAGTCAGTGTGCAGCTTCTGCAGGATGACCATATCAGCCATTGACGGGGGGATACCATATATGGTCCAGTTTGTGGGAATAGCAGCCCTGGCTTATGTTCAGAAGAAGAGCTTCGGCTGAGAACTTTAAACACTTCCCCAGTGGGCTTTGTTTACACCACAGCTTCTCTAACAGACAAACAGCTGCTTCGGTGCAGCAAACTATGGCGTTTCTGACCTACAGTGGTTGAATGAGACGTGTACCTGATTCCATCGGAGATCTGGGCTCTGAAACAAGAACAGACACCAACATTAGTTACACAAAATATCTGAAATGACATCCAAACTATGAGTTAATTCATTTATACTAAATAAAGAGATAATTTGAGTGGAATCATTAATATATATGACCTTCCCTTATTTAGTACTGCAGGTGTTTACAGTTTCTGCCCTTTCAGAGCTGCAACTTCTTGCCAAAGCAAAGATGTAATTTGTCAAGTTAGAAACAAAAAAAAGTAGAAGGAAAATTCAAATTGTTGACCATTTATTGCAAATTGAAATCTAATAAACTAACTAGATAAAATCCAGTTAGTTCGATAAAAAAAGGTTAGAATATCTCATGGAACCCTGTTCAAGACTTCATCTCAACACGGGGAGAGGAAGGACCGACAGCAAACTTCACAAAAATAAGATTTCAATTGGAGAGGAAACTTTTCTAAAATATTCCTACACTAAATTTTGCTGAAATCTTCAGCTTTAAACTGCTGAAGATCTTCCATAGGAGCATCAACGCTGTCAGAGATTTAGGGCCCCACAGAGAGTCGTTTTTTCAGCTTAAAGATTGGTTGTATCTTTCATATATAAGTTAAGGGACATGATGGCAAAAGAAGCAAAGCTTACTCTTCTGTAGGATTCGGAAGTCAGGAGAGTCCTCTATGAGTTTTCCCTCCCTGTACCAGTTGACCCGAGGGGATGGGACTCCTCTCACACGGGACTCCAGCACCACCAGCTGGCCTTCTGATGCGCTCAGGTCCTGCAGGCTCTTTAGGTACAAAACAGGATAAATTAAAAAACATAAAATAAATAATCTGTTTTCTTTGGTATGAACTGTGCCGGGAATTACACTACCTTTGTGAACACTGGGGCTGCCATGACAGGTTGTTCGTTTATTTCTTCTAAATGATGCTGGCTGATAGTTGAAGTCTGAGTCATAAAAGCACAAAAACATACAGAAAGATTTATTATTTAAGATTAAAATGAGGCTGGTTTGTATTTGTAGATGGAAAGCTATTAGTTTTTTTTTTTTTTTTTTACCTGCAGGTGGGAAGTTTGTGCTGCAGGTGACAGGATGGACGACACAGGCGGCGCCGTAGATGTGGCTTCAGCTGCCTGCTCCAGCTGCAGTGCTGAAAGGACCGGGACAGCTGCTGATGCAGACTGAGTTTCTGTATGTTCTGTTCCCCCTGCTGAGGTTGGAAACACCTGCTCAGGTAGGACTGTCTGCTCCTCCTCAGCAGGAGGAACCAGGGACACTTTGGAGAGCTCTGGCACTTGGAGAATAATGGCAGATGTCCGGACTGGTAGAGAAACTTGTGGAGCAGTGAGGGTATGTTCTAATGAAAGTTCCTCCTGTGGTTGGGCCGGGGGCGCAGCAGGTGGCGGTGCTGCAGAGCCGCCCTCCTTCGCAGGTGGAGTTTGGTTTGATGGTTGGGGTAAAGATGGAGATGACTTTGCTGGTTTTCGCTGCAGCCTTTGAACAGCAGAGATAAAAGACAAAAGTAGAATAGATACAACCCATCAACAGATTTGTTAATAAGTTTTAACATTAATTTATCTTAAAAGAAAGACTTTGATGCAGAATTTCACAATGATCACATACATGCTCTAAAAAATTTAAGGTAAACATTATTATTGCAAATATAGAACACATTTTGTTAATGGGAATTTGAAAACAAATTGAATCAAAAACAAGTTTTGAGAGAATTTTTTTAAAATTTCTATTTATTTATTTATTAAATCTACTGTTTTTATTTATTTTTCAGTTTTTTTTTATTGTTTTATTTCTCAGTCTGAAGTTTTATATCAAAACTATTAAACTTTTCTAAAGTTTTATTAAAACTGATTAAAATTGTATTCTTTCCAAATGATTTTTTCTAGATCACATTTTCTTCACTTCTGGAAGCAGGAATGTTTTCCTCTGGAGTGAAAAGGACGTTAGCGGCTAAAGTTTTATTGGTGCGGATCAGGATCAAGTGTTTTCATTGGTCTTAAAGTGAAGAGAAACTGAATCTAAAAATCATAAATAAAAAGAAAATAATGGGAAAAAAATTCAATTATAAAAGATAGAATCAGTGGAAAAAGATAAATACAATTTTGCAAATAAGGCTTAAAAAAATGTGTTTAAAGAAAATAATTAGTTACTCCTTTCTTACGGAATGACTGCGATCTGGATGACTGAGAATCTTCATCAGCGAAATTAATTACTCTAAAAAAAAAATCTAGGTTGTTAATCTTTTCAGTTCATCTCCTTCTACTAATCATATAAAAGAGGCCAGGGCTTCTGATACACTAGTCGACATTTCAGATGAGATGTGGAATTTGAGTCTGTCAAGGATCAAAACCTGTTCCATTAATTCCAGATTGCAACTTATTCAATTCAAGGTTATCCATCGTTTGCACTTTTCTAAAACCAAACTTAATAAGCTGTTTCCCAGTGTCTCTCCTATTTGTGACAAATGTAAATCAGACAATGGGACTTTGGGTCATATGTTTTGCTCTTGCCCTGAGCTTATGGACTTTTGGTACAGAATATTTAAATTTTATAGTAACGCTTATGGCAAAGTTCTATATCCGGAAAAGCATTTGATAATTCTGGGTTGCTCTAAATTCTCTGTTACTCTTCCCATGTCTCTGCAGCAGGCTCTAATGTTTGGTTTGGTGATTGCAAAACGGGTTATTCTGAGGGAATGGAAATCCTCTACACCTCCATGCTTTAAGAAATGGCTCAATGATATGGTGTCCTGTATCTATCCCGAAGAAATTCGATACTCTTTGTCAGACAATCATGATACGTTCCTAGATGTGTGGGGTCCTTTTAATAGACATATTCAAAATAATGGGTTAAAATGACTCTTTTCTGGCCTTTTTTTTTTATTCTTTTTTTTATTATTTATTATTATATCAATACTGTCATCCTTTATTACACTCTTCTTTTTATTGATATCCCATGTTTTATGTTGATCCACTTGTTACAATGTCTGCAGAATTATTTGTTGTCCTCTCTGCCTCTGCCTCGTGCTTTAATATGCTCTATTATTATAATAATAATATAATTATTCTCTTATCAGTTCTTCAATTTGCTGACACTGTTTTGTCTTGTTTTTTTTGTTTTTGTTGTACTTGTTTACTGTTTTGCTGTATTTTATTTTTTTTCCTCTTTTTTGTCTTGTCCGTTTAACTCTGAAAATGCATTAAAAAAAATAAATAATAATAAAAAAAATCTAGGTTAAAATGTGTTTCAGGGTTTCATTTCTGGATTACATTTTTCAAATTTCAATTTAAAATGTTTTTATTTTTTTTTATTCCCATTTACAAAATCTGTTCTTTGTTTGCAAAAATAATGGAACAAAATTTACTCCATAAAAACATTCACACAGAGGCACAATTCATTCAACTTGTGCACCGATTTCCTTTTTTTTTTTTACTTTTAATTCAACTTTAAAAAAGTAAAAAGAAATTTGCTAGAAACTCACTGGGCTACATGTTCAAAGCACTGTTCGGCCTCAGAGTCTGAAGAGGAAGCACCTGAGGGATTAAACAGAAATGTGGATCAGGCTCTGAGGGGCCGGTGGGATGAAACATTAACACAGGAAACATAAGCCTCACCTTCAACGTATATCTCAGCCGACGTGGAGTCCGTCCCATAGACATTAGAAGCAAAGCAGGAGTAGCGTCCGGTGTCTTCCTCAAACGCCTCTGCGATGATGAGAGAGTGCAGCTCGCCGTCTGTGATGATCTGAATGTCGGGGCTGTTTTCCAGCTCCTTTCCCTCACAAAACCACCTGGAAGTCAGTAGAAACAAAGATGTAATCCTATTCATCTCTACCTATAACTACAGTGTTGGAAAGCAACCCAAACAAAGATCATTTTGCAAATTATAATCCTAAAGAATTGTTGCATTTATTTATATTCAGATATTTTTACTCTGATATATCTGATTAAAATCCAGTGCAACCTTTTATGATCTTTTTTTTTTTTATTTCAATATGAATCCAGATGTTCTTTACTGGCTGGTTGGAGAACAAGTCCAGAAAAAGGAGGGGGGTGGAGTTGTGGAGAACTTTAATGCAGAATTTCGGTTGTAAACAACTCACAAAGATAATCCATCATCTGAACCCCTAGCGGGACCAGACAGATCCACACTCTTCTGGAAAATTCAGCTGACAGGATCACTATTATTCACCACAAACCTGGGCTTTATGGTAAGGGGCTGAGAAGAAAGTCTAATATCCCACAAACCATGTAGGAAACAAGGCCCAATAAATTTTGGGATTTCTCAGTGTAATTTAGTTTTGTTTTGTTCTGACTATATTTTTTCTTCAATTGACCCAGTTATTGTTTGTTAATTTATTGGGTTTAACAATGCTCTTTTTATTACTTCTTATTCTTTAATTAGTTATTTTCATTAGTCCATTTTTAGTTTTTTCAGACCTTGATTTATTTTAAGGTGAAAAGGCCAAAGTATTGTATTTATATAATTCTGTATATAAAAAAAATAAAAACTTAACACAATAGACTATTTGCAGGAAAAAAAACTGGTTCAATTACAGCTCTCTTTAATTGTGGGGAAACAAAATCTACATTTTTGCAAATATTTGCAAAGCTTATAAAAAATACGGCTAAACAAAAACAGTAAAGGGTTTATGGCTGTAATTTCACTATTCTTTAGTTTTATTAACACACAAAAACGATCATTTTTCCTTTTTAATTAAAGATTGTATTCATTTCAAATAATGTTTTCTTCATTTCACTGTTTTAATGTTTTGTTTTGTTTTAATTAACCGTAATAACTCTGGTAGGGACACACAAACACCTGGAAAAAGTTACGTTTTACTCAAGAGACGTTCCATTTGAACTTTTTGTCCATGTCTGGCTTCAGCAGGGTCTGAGATTGTGGTCTGAGACGACTGAAAGATGAAGCGAGCTAAATACAAGACAATCCTGGAAGGTAACCTGTTAGATGCAGCAGAGGATCAGGGAGGAGGTTCACCCTCCAGCAGGATCAGCTGTTATGTTGAAGTTTTAGATCTTTTGCTTTTACCCTATTTTGTTTGTTCGTCCTCCTCTGTGGTCCATTTTTCAGAAATTCAACTTTTCATCGTATGCCAATGACATTCATGTTTATCCTCCATCAAAATCAAGGAAATTAAGATTTTGCTGAGAAGTTTAGCAGACATGAGAGTCTAGATATCACAAAACTGTCTTTATTTAAGTGATAAAAAGTCATTTGTTTGTTAAATCAGACCTGCTGACAGGATGCAGCAGCGCTGATGGACCACTGGACGCTTCTGTCAGGAATTTTGCTGTGATCCTTGATTCAGATTTCAATAAATCAGTCAGTGCAGTCGTCAAGTCTGGCTTTCATCATATAAGACTTAATAGTAAAGTCAATGATTATCCTTCTCTATAAACACTAAGAAAATTATTAATGCATGATTGCCTTTTTCAACGGGACCAGCAACACTTCCTTTTTAGTGACAGTGACTGGTCAACTCTTCAACATCTTCAGCTGGCTTAGAAATCAACCGGTCGTCTGCTTACAAGACCACATAATTTTGTATTCCCTTCACTTTTTGCACCAAAATCTCAACCAAGAACTCTGTAAACCAAAAGCTGTTTTTGTTGGACTCAGCTTGTGATCATGGATGACAGAACTCTGTCAGTCATTGGTCTGATATCTCAAATCTGTTGTTGCACCGATGCCATTTTTTGTCCCCAATACCGATACCCGATACCTGGCTGTACAGTATTAGCCGATACCGATACCATGCTGATACCATCTGTTTGAAATTGATGTGTGTGTGTATATGAAGAACATACTACTTGGCTTTAAAATAATTTCCATCATGGCTTTGTCAAGCTGCTGCCTACCTTTGTGAAGCAGGAAAAAGACTAATACAAAGTGAATCCAGTAGAACTTTTTATTGCCTTCCTGGAATGGGTGACAATAGTTGAACAAACTTTTGGCTCTCAAAATGGTATCAGTGCCCTATTTGTTGGTACTCGCCGATACCGATACTGATACCACCATTTTAGTGCTGGATAAGGGCCCTGTTCGATACTGGTATCGGTATCGTTGCAGCACTAGCTGTTACTTTAAAGTTTAATGTTTACTTGGTTTTAAATCTCTTTCAAACTTGCTTTGTATTTCATAGAGCATCACATCAGTCATTATTTCTTTGTCTTTCATTGGTGGTTTTATTAAAATAACTAATAAAATAAATAAATTGAACTTTATTGATTTTAGATTGACAAAATTAACTCTCCGTATTTAACCCATCCCCCCATTTTGCAGCAATCTCGGAGCAATCGGGGGTTTAGGGTCTTGCTCAGAGAGCCAGAGTGGCAGTCTACAGGAGTGGGTTTTAAACTCACAACCTCAGGACTCCATGCCTTCTGCCCTAACCACTAGGCCGCCACTCCCCAAGTACTTGTTTTTATTCTTATTGCTTTTAAAACTGTTATTTTTATGTTCTAGTCCTTATTTTATTCACATGAAGAGCCAGAAAGCCTTTTCTTAAAGCATTTTATAAATGAATAAATTAATGATAACAATGAGATCAATGTCTGTCCCGTAGGTCCAACAGTCATTTACGTTTTAGTTGATGCTCCATAATTCCTCATTAAAATCATTGCATTACTTCAATCATTCATTTGTTGTCATCAATGGGTGCTGGGAAACACTTAAAATGTGCAGGAAAGCGACTCGTGATGACTGATCAAAACATTGACTTGTGCTTGAATGGCTCAGTTAAAGTCCAGCTGCAAATGTAAGAGAGAAATCCAAATGGATGTTCTGCATCCAATCTTTTGGAGAGAAGAACAGGCAAGGTTATCTGCATGTGCAAAAGCTGTTGGAGATACAAACAAAAATGCAGCTTCAACATTTGCAAAAGGTGTTTCCTCTAAATATTGACTCTGGAACACTTTATTGATTTCCATATTTTTATAAACATGTATCTTTTTCCTTCCACTTTACGACTGCAACACTTTGCATTTCTTTATCCCAATAAGTCAAACTTAAAATTAGTCTTTGTGTCTCTTTTATGTTCCTCTTTTACTATTTCTGGTTTACTACATCTGCCTGCAAGAAGTAGATTTTAATGAGTGAGTTTTACCTCTTTCCTTTAACACCCGTAAGAGAACAAGCATCATCGACTCAACTTAGATCTGAGTCTGTTCCAACAATTAAAGCGGAAATGAAAAACAGAAATAAAGACTCCTGCAGTGATGTCCTTCATGTGTTTTCTAACATAGAACCAAAGCACCAGAAAACCAAAGGTTCTACAAAAAATCTAATCTTAACAGTAAACATCAAACTCCTCCGTCCAGATCAGCAACATACCTCTACGTCAGCGTGTGTCTATTTTCAGAGGATGAGGCTTTGATACTTCATAAAATCCAACCAATGGCCAAACAAGAAGAGAGTGATGCATTACTGTCGGCGTCATCGCTGAGCCATAAATCTATCCCCGCAAAACCAGACAGCGTGAGCTCTAGATTTCATCTCAGCTTTGATTGCTCTGTTGTCAGTTCTGGAGGAGAAAAGCCCCTCCTCAGGGATTTAAATCCCTAAGCAACAGCTGGAATGTTCTGTTCGGTGCTCCGCCTGGCCCGAGCCGAGCCACTTCTGATGAGTAAGGGGCTAAATTGAAAGCATGAGTAGTAGAGGAGGTGGCGGTCGGCCCATGAAGGCAAAGACCCGGCCTCGCTGCACCTGTCCGGGCTATTTTTCCTCCTGAGATCAGAACCAGAGAGGAGGTTTCCTCTGGAGCCTGAGATATCCGACTCACTGACCTTACGCACAACACTAAACATAGAATCAGAGCACACACAATGCTGCATGCAGACACACAACACAGCATTTTACAACCCTAGGAACCTGAATCCTATACCTTAGCTCCTTCAAATAAGTCACAGCTGAAGGTAGAAACACTGCAAACATCACATTATAAGGAAATAGCTTCTACTATGAACCTCAGGTGTGAAAAAGAGGTGACATGAATGGCAGCAGGACATGATCAGGTCAGCATAAGCTTACAAAGGAATCGTCTTTGCAAAAACCAGCAAATAATCTCACCAAGTGCGTCACAGTTCCGTCAAGAGCTCAGCCGGTCCCATTATCAGACAGGACTACAGCTCGTGTTGCCAGTCCGGTCTAAAAATGGCCAGGAGCTACATTCTCCACGGACAAGTATAAGTTAGAGGCTCAACAATGTTCAGAAGGACTAACAAGCACATGCCCCCTATACTGACGGCTCAGCTGCTGCCTTTGTTGCTCTGGGAGGGAACCAGCAGGTCCAACAACACCGGTATGAACAGGAAGAAGGAAAACGGTAAATCAACTGAATGCAAAGTAAGAAATCATCCCATCACATGTTGGCACATTCAGGTTTTACCCCCCTCAGCACACAAACACACACTCCCACCATTCAGAACCAGCTGTTGGCCATCATCACTTGTCTGTTCTGTCAGCAGGGCCCTAGAACACACAGCATCCTTCGTCCTGGCTCCTAATCTATGCAGAGCTTTGTACATATTCAGAGGTATCTGAGCCTCAGCCGACGCAACATTTTAAACGACTCTCCAGATCTCCACAAAACCATCTTTCCTCAAGGTGACTGGGTGTTTACATTCATACGACACCTGATAAGTGGCACAAAGCTTAACGACATCTGCAGTCGATTGTTTCTTAACAGCAAAATTACCTTAAAGTAGACCAGGAAGTATCTGTGTGACTTCATTAGACTTCAAAGCAGTAAAGAAACAAACACCCTCTCTTATTCCTCATTCATTTGCAGTCAGATATAAAAGAAATCTTATCTTCTTATGAGAAGATTCTACTCAAAATAAGTTCAATAACAATTGAACTTGGTAAGTCTTCTTGTTTTGAGAATGTTTATCATAATTTCAACATAGGCTAAGATCAGAGATGGGAAGTAACAAAGTACAAATACTTCGTTACTGTACTCAAGTAGATTTTTCTGATATTTTTACTTTACTTCACTACTTATTTTTATGGCGATTTTTTACTTCTACTCCTTACATTTTTACACAAATATCTGTACTTTCTACTCCTTACATTTTAAAAAATTGGCTCGTTACTTTAGTTTTGAATCATTTCAATGGAGTTACCGTTATTATTTTTCACGTCATCAATACCAAATTCAATCTAATTGGATGGGAATCTACGTTGCATTTGACGCACCACTACAAGATGAATCGACAGATTCTGCGGTATTCATTGGCGGCAAATCATTGCAGCTTGGTGGCGGTGGCGTTAGCATAGTAGCATGGACGACGAGATGATTGAAAATGAACACAACGGAGATCTAGTCCTATTGGCAGACATCCATTTAAAATGTAGGCAACGGCATGAAAAAAGTGGTTTCTACTTTTACTTTTATACTTTAAGTAAATTTACAAGCCTGTACTTTGTTACTTTTACTTGAGTAAAGAAGTTTAATCAGTATTTCCACTTTTACCGGAGTATTTTTTAACACAAGTATCTGTACTTTTACTCAAGTATGGAAAGTGAGTACTTTTGCCATCTCTGGCTAAGATAGTAAGACTTGTTTAGAGGGACCATTTTTGCAGTGTAAGCATTTGATTCCTCACCACACAGAGTGTTTATGGATCCATGCATATCAGCTATAAACACCTCACATCAGCTCTTTAAGTGTATTATTCACACTTGCATAGGGACCCTTTTTATCCTTCTGTGTCATTCTATCTCTATTCTCCCACTCTGCAGAATCTTTTGGTTCAATCTCTAATGTTCTGCTCTCTTTGCTTTTCTCATAGTAGCTCTTGTTTGGCTGTGACTACATCCTGGAGAGAAATATCAGCTGTGCTGCTGCCATCAACACCTTTGTTTATAGATGTTGAAATACAGCCTGTTTTTTCAGTGTAGTCCTGTTTCTCTGACTGGCTGGATGTGCTCTCTTCATCCTCTGACATGCCTGGCTGTGTGTTTCCTGGCGCCTTTTACAGTTGCTTTTTGTGTCTCTGCTTCTGTCTCCTTGAATCCCAGTCGGCCTCGGCAGATGGCCGCTCACACTGAGCCTGTTTCTGCTGGAGGTTTCTTCCTGTTCAAAGGGAGTTTTTCCTCTTCACTGTTGCTACAATCATGCTTAGTGTGAGGGATTGCCTTCGAGTCAATGAGTCGATGCAATCAACTGGTTTTCCTTAGATAAAAAACTTTAAATCAAATTGTCTGTATGATCTGGTAAACTGTAAAGTGCCTTGAGGTGACGTGTTGTGAATTGGCGCTATAGAAATAAGATTAATTGAACTTATCCATAAAAGCACTTTTATTCATTCTGACATCTCCACCAGAAAGAGCCAGACCAAATAGTTCTCTGTTGACTTCATTGAAGACAAGTATGACCCAAAGAAACACCTTATTTACTCAAACACTTCTGACACCAAACATACCAGCAGAACTAACTAAAACTTAAAGCATTAAAAGGGAACTTAAAGAAGTTTAATTGATTTTTATTTCTTACCGGACTTCTGGCACAGGATACCCCCTTACGATGCAATCTAGCTGGACCTTGGTACCTTCAGGAACCTCCCTGCTCTTCAGCTTTTGGATGAAATGGGGGGGCTCACACGCTGACTCTCCTTGATGTGGACTCTCTGTCAGTACAAGACGTTCATCTACATCCCCTATTTCCTGAGTAACACTGTCAAACTGCTCTTCTTTAGGAACACCGGAGTCCTGGAACTCCAAACTCCCCAAGTCCTGATCTACCACAGGTTGGTTGACCACTGCTGGGGTAGGTTTCTCTTGCTCCATCTCCACAGGCCGGATGGTACGCTCCCTGCTGTCTGAGCTGATGGGATAAACCACATCATCGGTTTGGCTTTTGCTCTGGTTCCTGCTCCTGTGGGCCTTGCAAGTTCTTGGTCGGACCCGTTTGGAGCTGTTGGCCTTGAAGAGTGAAGACAGCTCCTCGATAAAGTCTGCTGCCTTATTGAGGAACTCTTTCTTGGACTGGGTCTCCGGTCCATAAGGGGTGCCTCTAGCTGAACTGTTGCGTTCCTTATATGCCTCAGTTCCGTCCACACTGTTCCTCACCATGTTGTCTTGCCTGTTGTGCATCTTTTTGTCGGATGTAAGCAATGTGGACGTAGAAGCAGGAGGAGCAGAAAAAGAGGCAGGCGAGTGGTCTGAGACTGGAACGGCAGAAGGTGTGGATAAAGAAACGGAGGCTGAGGAGAGGTGGTTGATGGAGTCACTGGTGGAGGTGGTTACCGGCTTCACCAAGACCTTAACATCCCCTGTCTGCTCAAGGGTCTCATGTCCAATGGCCTGCCGGGCCAAGTTCACACTCTTATCCAGCTCCTCTTGGCTGAGGAAAGCTGACAGATCTGGGAACTGTGCGTCATTGTGTCCCACGGCTTCCTCTCCTTTACCTCTGAGGGAGCCGTAAATCTGAAGGCGGGAGGGAGAGGCATCAGAGCGACTCGTCTCGCTGTGGCGATGCTGGGCTCTGGCCTCTGCAACGTAGCTCACTCTTAACAGCTGGGACAGGGACGGTGGCTGCTCCGTGTTATCTTCCATGATGCTGAAAAAAAGCACAAGATTTTCAGTTACCTTGCATACAAAAGAATGTATATATGATTCCATAACAAAGACACAAGGAATTAGCAAGCATGCTAACTGTTGTGTTCAACGTTCCAAAGATGAAAATCAGAAAAAGTCCCGTATGGTGTCCATATTTTACTTTTTCACATTTTCTAACATTGAAACCATAAACTTAGTCATTTGGCCTAGTGGTAGAGGCTACAGTCCACTGGGACCTTTGCAATATCTCTGCTTCGGTTTCCAAGTAAGACAACTATTGAGGCAAAATCTAACAAAACTTTAAAGGGTTTTATTGGGCTCTTAATTTACCAATAAAAAGTACCACTATATTGAAGTGGGAGAAAATTGCAATCACAGCAAAGTGTTTTGGAGTATGTTTCTAATATCTTTTCTAATCCAAATCCAGGATTATTTTCCTTTTCTTCTTGGCAAACAAGCTCAAGATCAGTCCAATAATAGACCCAGAACCCAGGGCTTTGACTAGACCATTCTTGAACTTTAATATTCTTTTATCTAAACTACACCACTTAAGCGTTAGGTTGTCCTGTTGGAAGATGAACCTTTTACAGCCTTCAAAGGCACATTTCTTCCAGCAATTTTCCTAAACATTTTAACAATCTTCTCTATCCCTGGTGAAGAAAATCTTCCCTACAGAATGTCAGCTTGCCCAGAATATTCAAAGTCAGGGGTGGAAGGAAAATAAAGGGCCCATGTAGCGCATCCTCACCACTATAGAGAACACTTTAGCTTGCTCTTTGGCTCCTGAGATGGCAGTTTAGCATGCATTTTTCAGCAATTTCATCACTTCTCTGCTCCCTCTGAAGCACTGTTATGTTTTAGTGCCATCTTGTTTTGCACTATATTGTGTTGAGGTGCCGGTGGAAAAAAAAAAAAAGACTAAAGACCAGATGTTTATTCTGGTCTTTAGTCTTTTTTATTTTTAAGATGATAAGTCTTTTAGTCCTTTGTTTATCATTTGTTTTTTCTGCTTGATGCATCAAACAGATGTGTGACTAATGTCTGCAGTGCTATTGATTATGTTTGAAATATTTTATAGAGCCTGAATACCCATTTATACTAGATATTAATATTAAATCATATATTTCTTTAGAAATATTTTTTCAAATTATTGTAAATATCAAGTCAACAGTTAGCAGAGTGCATGCTCTCTCCATGTTTTTGTTGGTTCCATTCAGGTATTTCAACTTCCTCCCACAGTCTGAAAACATGACTGTTTGGTCAACTGGTTGAGCTACTATAGAATTTATAAGCTGCTTTATCCCCCATACTTTACAGACCTTTAAAATAGGTAATTATCAAGAAGCACAATAAATATATATTATTGTCGATTGCTTTTAGTAAAACAAAATTGGAAAATTGTTGCAGGTATTTGTATTGAACTCCCCAAAATGAAACAGGCTAAAGACTTCTTGAGACTTCAGCATTTTTTCCCCAAGGAATTACCTTTTCTTTAGCTCCACACATCTTGATATTAACTCTGACAAGCTATCCTCCCTCAGCATGATGCTTCCTCTGCCATATTTCAACATAAGAGTGGAGTTTTCATGGTAGTTTGCAGCATTAGTTTTCCATATTTAATCTGACTCAGCAGGTCGGATGTGTATTTTCGCTACTTGTGGTAAATTGCAAACAGAACTTTGTAGGTTCCTCTAGCTTTGGAAGATCTGGGACATTCTTTTGTTGTTTTCTTTATTTTCTTATAGTTTTTTCTCTCTAAAGCCTTCACAGAAAACCTGGACATATACAGATAACAAATCAGATACAGGTTACAAATAAGGGGATTTCTAAAGACAATTAGTTTTGCTGGATTTAATCTAGAGGAACCAGAATAAAAAAAGGCTGGAATAGATGAAACGATGGTTTTAATTTGTTGAAAATAAATGAGAATCGAAGGAATTTTGTGTCAGATTACTCCAACCTTACATGTCATAGTTTGCTGTAACAAAGTGATAGAAAATGGAAAAAGTCGAAGGGCTATGAGCATATTTGTGAGGCGCTATTAGAGGTGATGCGACACATTAATCTTGTAATTTACATTAAGTCTCGACAACCTGATGAAATGAAGACGTGTAGCAAAAATAGTATTTTATTTTAGCCCAAGCAGAGCCTTTCTCAGGCCTGTGCCGGGTATCATGTTCCTGACACCTGATAGGATGGGAAACAGGCACGTTCTCTGTCCCCTGCGTCCACCTCGGACTGACACCTAGAAGCCGTCTCAAATATTCACAAGCATGAGGCAGGTTATAAAATACAGACAGTCTGACAATCAAAAATCAGTGCAATTAAGAGGAGGAGTGATGCCCTTCCAACAGGCCCTGGGGCTGCAGCTGTTGTGTACATTAATACCTTGCAAACAGGCTCTTAGGCCACCGCGTCACATCTAATAATAGCAAGGGGGGCGGTCAGTTTACAAGAAGAAAATCAACACAAAAAAAGCAATACATCTAATGCTTTGGCTCTGATTTTGATCAACTACAATAGGGATTTATTCTAATTCAACAGAACTATAATTAGCAGTAATGGGACCCTGCTGAGAGTTATAACACACCCCACAGAGGAGTAGGCCCTGGCCCCCATGCAGCAACACACATCCTGGCAGGCTGAGATAATTTGATTACACAGGGGGCACAGCGGGGAAGCAAAAATAGAGCCAAGCTTGTTTGAGAGTTTCTGAGGCAGCCCACCGAATATGAGGCCAACAGCACAAGATAAGCCCACAGGCACAATGTGAGCGACTAAACAAGAGGGGGGCGGGTCAGTTTTACCTTCAGAATAGACCCAGCTGGCCTCTGTGCACCTGTGCTGGTTGGGAGGGGGTGGGAGGCGGGGCAGAGTCCCAGTCTTCCTGCTGCAGCCACCTGGAGAAATCCTGGACACAGGAAGCTGCTCTCTGCCACACAACAAACCCTGAAGTTTGCTGGAAAAGGAACAGCAGAGTAGCTACGGTAACCCGTCACCGGCAAACGTAGCAACATTTGTCAGCACGGGGGCTGCAGGGTTATTTTGGGGCGGACTGACCCATGTGCCTGGGTGGCGTTCCTCCTCATTGGCCAGAAGGGTAGGGGGGAGGTATAGCAGTGGGGTGGGGGTCGGGGGGGTCATGCTGTAAAGGGTGGTCTGTCCCAGACCTCTGAACCACCGGACTGGAAGATCCCAGATCAGAGTTCCCACACACACTGCAAGTCACAATTCAACCCATGTTTATAGATGTTGGAGATCAACCTGTTTTTCCAGTGTAGTCCTGTTTCTCTGACCGTGACTGGCTGGATGTGCTCTCTTCATCCTCTGACATGGGAGCTGGCTCAGAGCTCGTCTGCCTGGCTGTGTGTTTCCTGGACGGGGCCGCCTTTTACAGATGCTTTTTGTATCTCTGCTTCTGTCTCCTCAACCCCAGTCGGCCTCAGCAGATGGCCGCTCACACTGAGTTTTTCCTCTCCACTGTCGCTACAAACATGCTTAGTTTGAGGGATTGCCTTCGAGTCAATGAGTCGATGCAATCAACTGGTTTTCCTTAGATAGAAAACTTTGAATTAATCTGACTGGATGATCTGGTGAACTGTAAAGTACCTTGAGATGACATGTGTTGTGACCCTTAGCAAAAAGTAGTTTATTCAAGTATACTAAAAGTGCACTAATTTCATACTTAAAATCAGGCAGTGCGCTTAGAGTTTACTTATTCTAACCAATATTTCATTTACTTAGCAATAGTAAAGTCAAGTGTACTTGTCTATACTATTGTTTACATTTATTGTTTACTAAAGTATACTTTAAGTATACTTTAGTAAACTTCAAAAATGTCCAAATTTAGTTCGAAGAAGTATTACTTTAGTAATACTTCAAGTACACTAAAAGTACATTGTTCGTTATACTTTGTAAACTTATACTTATACTTAAATATTCTTAATAGAATTTACTTCAAGTATACTACTTTTTGCTAAGGGGAATTGGTGCTATAGAAATAATCTGGAAAAAAAAAAAATTATTTGAACCCATTCAAGACTCCATCTCCCAGAATTCCCAGTTCAAAAACTTAGGGATGGATGGATGATAACTGGATAGATTGTCCTGAGCTATCTCTATAGTTATGCTGTTATATACTTATTCTGCTGGAGGACATAGGGACGACCTTTCATCATTCTGCTTCATTCTAGCTCTATTCTCCCATTCTGCTGTATTTATTAGTTCAAACAACAACTTTACGATCTCTCTGCTTTTTCTTGTCATAGTAGCTTCATTTTATCGGTTCCTCCTTGATTGAGAAGCCATCCTGGAAAGAAATATCAGCTGGGCTGCTGCCTTTAACACCTTTGTTTATTGATGATAGAGTAAGGCCTTTAGTCCTGTTTTGCTCAGCCTTTAGTGTGTGAAACTGTATGTTCTTTCATTTATCTCATTGCCATGAAAACTGTTCAGAGCTCGTCTGATTAACTGTTCTTTCCCAGACAGAGCCACCTGTGGTGATAGTTTAGAGTTATCTTTTATAACAAAGAAAGTATTTATGGACCAGTTCTTCTATGTTCCTTTTGTACGTCTGCTTTTCTCCAGGAAAAAGTTTTTGCCAATGAGCCTGGCTCTGCTGGAGGTTTCCTCTCCACTGTCACTGCATATATGCAAGGTGTGAGGGATTTCTGACATCAAAGATAAAATGCAAGCATTTATCGACTGTCAACACATGCTTCATCCAGGAGGAGCGAATCCAGCAAAGTCAATCACTTGATACAATCTGCTGTTTTTTTTCTTAGAAAACTTTGAACCAGTCTGACTGTATGATCTGGATGAATTGTCTCTGTAAAGTGCTATGTAAATAAACTGAATTGAACTGAAAAGATAAACTTATAAAAGGATGATCGGTGGATGGATAAATTAGATGAGTGCGTGAAAAGATGGATAATTATCTGTTAGGTTAAGATGTGGATGAAAAAAAAACTCATGGATAGATGAGTTTGATGAATGAGCGGCCGGAAGGGGAGAGGAATAATTCAACTTTGGACAGATTGATAGATGAAGCATTAATAGATGTGTAGATGGCTGGATGAAGTAGGCTTAGATTGACTGATGAAAGGAGAAATCAAAAACCCAGAAGAAGTGGCAAGGAATTCGGATCATTATCTGAAATTCACTTATAAAAAAATGGGTCTTAAAACATTTTCTCATTGCTTTTTTCCTCTAAACCGAAACCAGATGAGCGAAGGTCCAAACAGTTTAAGACTACCTATAGGAACCACTTTAGAATTCAACAGCAGACAGATCCCTCTGCAAACATTTCACAAACAGAAACTGCTCCAGGTGGATGTTTATTCAATGTTTCAGCGTGAATATCGGGTTGCATGTTGCAGGAAATAGCTAAATAGTTTACATCGTGCTCATCAGATGCAGCACTTTCACCCTTCAACTGCTCCATCAAGTAGTTTAATCAAACAAGTGTTTCTAGTCTCAATATCATTTTCGATCATAAAGAAAAACAAAAGACAGGAAGCAGCAAGCCTGAGCTTTTATTTACACTTAAAACAGTGTAGGAGCTGGAATCCAAACACATCTAGTCATCAGGTGTATTGCAGCCGTGACAAAAGCTAGTATAAACTGGCTTTAAAGCAACACCTTGTACACGTTATGAAAAGGCTGTACACATATTAATGCACATAAATGCATATTTGCATAATTTCTCATCAGATCCAAAAGACAGGATCTAAGATATCAAAAGTTAAGGTACATGAGATGTCTTCCAGCACTGATGTGTTTGACAGATCTTTTCTGGCACTCTGCGAATCATGCATGCGAGGCAAAAAAAACAAGTGTTGCACCAGTCAATCAGAAAGTGGTCAGAATCTTAATCTGCAGTTTAAACACTGATTTAAATAATCCATAAATGCATCGAAAATCAAAACTCCCATTTTCTCCAGTTACTTGACAAATTGAAAAAGTTATCAGCTGCATTTGGGCTCATCTAAATACATCATCGGTTACATTCTGTCTCACAAATAACATTTGAATGTTTTTAAGACATCTGGGGAAAAAAAAAAAGTTAATCATGGAAGTGATCACAGAATTAATAAGAACAAGCAAAGAAAAGGATTCAAAAGTCAGCCAGTTTTTCCCTGATTTGCTCCGACTGCTGATCAGCTGATTAAATGCTACAGAAATTATTTTCTTTCTTACTGTTCTTTAAATGCATCAAAACCCCAAACTTTTTCCTAACACACGATGATCAATCAGCATCTACTTTGTTGCTTTACTGCATAATCTGGGATTAATCCTGTAATTTTCTTCCTTTACTTTACCGACAGCTAAATCGATTGCAAAATACATGGCAAAGTACTTAAATTTATGCTAAAGTTGTTTTGTTTTTTAAATAATGAATACGTTTTTCAATTATGCAGGTTCACAAATTATAACAAGATTCTAACTTTTAGTGATTTGGATTCAGTAAACACAGAGTGATATTTTTCAAGCATTTATTTCTGTTAATTTGGATCAATTCTGCCAACAGCTCATAAAAAGCTGGAGAATTTAATTTAACACAGAGCCCAAGCTGCAAAGCCTCATTGTTAAAACAGCTGCTGTACTCAAAGGAAGGTTTAGTGGAAGGAAAAAGTGTGGTAGAAGATGCTCAGCAACAGGCATTACAGCAGGAATGCTTTAATTGCTCTTTTTAAAGGAACCTTAAATTGGGTTCCTGCTAGCAGTAAACCATAATCATCGAAAGAGAATAAATTATTTCACATGTATTACTCTGTGTTTATTGAATCAATTTAGCTCCATCTTAAGAATTTAATTACAGAAATAAGTTAATTGATATTTATTAAAATGCATCTGGGTGCATCAAGATCTCTGGGAATTCTAAGGTTAAATATTTAGGAAAGCAATGGCTTGGGAAACGTCTGATTGGTGCATCGTCAAGCACTAAAGATGCTTGTTTCAAACTGAAACGAAAACTCAAAGCTTGTTGGGGCAGAAGCAGCTGAAAGACAAAGTAAACAAACATCCTCTTTGGCATACAACTGTTATTTCCTAACAGTTTTCTTTTTTTGTGTAATGCAGTAAAGGCAACATAAGAGTAGAGCATTACAACAAAAATGAAAATTTTTTTGTGTATCTTGACTGTAACAGGTGGCTTGTGGGATTAAAACATTATCATTAGCAGCAACTGGAAAGTGTTGATTAGCTTCATCTGTAAATTAAAAAAAAAACAGCACAAGACACTTCCAGCAAGAAGTTTGGGAATGAAAAAGATTCACAGGATACCGATCAAAACGATGCATTCAGGTTCTCTTCCATCCCAGTAAGCAGATGCAACAACTGCATCCTGATGCATGGCAACCATAGAACCATTGTGAAGTCCGTTTTCCTTTCTCTCCATGCATCAAAAATAGGCTCCAACATTATTGTGTTTTTCACAGTGTTTTTGTGGCCTTGAGTCAACAGAGACGAACATGAGGCATTGTTGAATTTGTATTTAGTGCAGCGAGTGTGATAAAGATGTAGGAGGCACAGTAGAGTTCTGCAACAGATCCGAGGACGCCTTTTTTGTCGCCATCAGGAGTCTTCACTGGCACGTTTGCGGGATTGGTCCCCCCTGGGGACAGGAAAGATAAAGACCTTAGTGATTCTGGTGCAGACTGGAGAGTCGGAAACCAAAGCTGCGGGAAACCGACCGTGGGAAACCGTTCATGGAGAGCTCCATCTGCAGCTTCCGGTCATGGTCTGCGTAATCGGGCAGCCGAGATTCAACAGCAGGAGGGTGGATCTGCGGTATGAAGCTGGAGAAGAGGGCCGGAGCGAGCTGGGCCCACTCTGAAAGGACAAAAAATTATATTTATGGATCAGAAGGACTTTAAAGTATAAGAACTCCCCTATCTGATGTCCATTAACGCATACGTCACCTGGACATAGGCTGTAGAGGCCTTTAACCACACTGGCCATCGTGGATGGTTGAACTTGAAAGGGCATGGAGTGAGCTTTAATGAGCAGAGCTGGAAATAAATGAAAACGAAGTCTGAATGTGGTTCAGAGAGAAAAAAAAAAGCCAGAACATTGTAGGATGAGGTGTGTTTTACTTCTTTGATGTCTTGCTTAACAATAAACAGTTAAGCCGTTTGGTGGACAGCAGTAACATTACAACGCTAAAAGATATTTCTTCAATGCAAATGCTATTAACTTATCAAACAGAGCAAATTTTTATCTAATAAACCATTAATCCAAAATGATTTGGTTATTTGTTTAAATCATTTGCTCTGTTTCTGGCCTCAGAGCAGATAAAGAGCATCATGAAAACCAGCAGACAGGTCAGAGAGAAGGTTGCAGAGAAATTTAAAGGTCTAGAGGATGATCTTTTATTTCCAGGTGGATCATCTAAATAAGTTCACTGGAAAAAATCCAAATCTAGACAAGTCCTTTTTTCTTAAAATAAGTGCATTTGTTCTTGAATTGAGGAGATAAAAGAGACATATTGCCAACTGAACAAGACAACTTTGGTTTAAAATAAGAAAACGCAATTGCATTGTCTTATTTCAAGCGCATATTATCTAATTGTCTTATTTTAAGAGTAAAAATACTCATTCCATTGGCAAATTATCTCATTTACATACTCAAATCAAGGGTAAATACACTTAATTTGAGAAAATTGTACTTATTCCTAGATCGTTTTTGCAGTGTTGTCCTCCTAATTGTCAATCACCCTGTTGATATGTTTACAGAAAGCCGTCCTACGTGCTCATCCTGTTAGCTTTTCTGTTTCTGTGCAGGCGCACTTTCAGACGTATATCTGCGGTGAGCTACGGTTTCAGCCAGTCATCGAAGCTCACCTTTCTCACGCCGGTTCTTTGAAAATGGCAGAGGGTCGGAAGTTAAAAAGTCTCTTCCAAGTGTAAGAGAAGAAAAGAAAGGCATCAGAAGAGGCAGATTAGCTGTCAATACGGCACGTTATCGCCACAGGCTGTCGCTACCCGACAGCGGCGACTGATAAAAATGGCGCAGGCACCACGCAGAGTAGGAGGAGTTACGTGATCAACGGGGAGCAAAAAGTAGTGATCATCTAACTGAACGGTCATGAAATTGAGTTCACTATAAAGTCCACTATATATTCCCTTATAGTGATTGAGGGATTTAGGGGTTAGGGATGGACGTTCAGTCACAATAAGCTAGTATGAGTGTTGGAATAATTATGTATAAGATACTTAATGTTTGTTCTTATAATGTATAATGTGTGACATATTACTGGAGTTTCTTGGACCATTTGACCGCAAGACATTTAAATGCAAATTGACCTGTTCACTGAGGCTGCAAATTGAATTGTATTCCTTGTTTCCTATTCCTTTAGCACAACCTCAGCTTGTGTAACTAGGGAGCCCCACCTCTGACTTTAATAAATAGCGAGGAGAAAGCTGAAGACCGACAGAGTGGGGTGGAGATGTACCTGCACGGTCTCTTCCTACTCTCCTCGCGAGTAAAAAGAATCCTGACTCTGTGCCTTTCTTTCCTTGTTTTACAGTATTTTAGGTGTTAGACCTGACAATGAGCTATGAGAACAGCAACTTTTAAACAGAGCGCGCACGAGGAGAAATGAGCTTGTGCACGCTCTCGCACCCATTTAATAGCATTCCCTCTCGGAGTGGGTACAGGGTTGTGCTGTTCTTTTTTTTTTTTTTAAGTGGAGAGGTTGTGTCTTTTAAAGAATTTGTGAAAATCCTCCACAATACTTTTAAAGCACAGTTATGTCTTAAAATAACATCCATGCTCTGAACTTCTCCAAGAACTCTGTTTAATCTTTCATCTGGATTTGGAGAGATACTAAGAAATGGAGGTTTGCTGAAGAGCATTAGGTTAGAAACATTCCAAAGCTAACCACTAGAGACTGACATTTTTTCGGGAATCCCACAGGTCACGGGATTCCTGTGGAATTCCCGTGGGATGGGAGTCAGTATTAGTAACAATCACGTAATTTGGACGGTACAGGATTGAACATTAACGGGAGCAGACGGGAGCGGGAGCAAACCAATAGTAACTAAAAAAAACCAGGATCGATGCCAAAAAAAAAAAAAAAAAAAAANCCATGTTTATAGATGTTGGAGATCAACCTGTTTTTCCAGTGTAGTCCTGTTTCTCTGACCGTGACTGGCTGGATGTGCTCTCTTCATCCTCTGACATGGGAGCTGGCTCAGAGCTCGTCTGCCTGGCTGTGTGTTTCCTGGACGGGGCCGCCTTTTACAGATGCTTTTTGTATCTCTGCTTCTGTCTCCTCAACCCCAGTCGGCCTCAGCAGATGGCCGCTCACACTGAGTTTTTCCTCTCCACTGTCGCTACAAACATGCTTAGTTTGAGGGATTGCCTTCGAGTCAATGAGTTGATGCAATCAACTGGTTTTCCTTAGATAGAAAACTTTGAATTAATCTGACTGGATGATCTGGTGAACTGTAAAGTACCTTGAGATGACATGTGTTGTGACCCTTAGCAAAAAGTAGTTTATTCAAGTATACTAAAAGTGCACTAATTTCATACTTAAAATCAGGCAGTGCGCTTAGAGTTTACTTATTCTAACCAATATTTCATTTACTTAGCAATAGTAAAGTCAAGTGTACTTGTCTATACTATTGTTTACATTTATTGTTTACTAAAGTATACTTTAAGTATACTTTAGTAAACTTCAAAAATGTCCAAATTTAGTTCGAAGAAGTATTACTTTAGTAATACTTCAAGTACACTAAAAGTACATTGTTCGTTATACTTTGTAAACTTATACTTATACTTAAATATTCTTAATAGAATTTACTTCAAGTATACTACTTTTTGCTAAGGGGAATTGGTGCTATAGAAATAATCTGGAAAAAAAAAAAATTATTTGAACCCATTCAAGACTCCATCTCCCAGAATTCCCAGTTCAAAAACTTAGGGATGGATGGATGATAACTGGATAGATTGTCCTGAGCTATCTCTATAGTTATGCTGTTATATACTTATTCTGCTGGAGGACATAGGGACGACCTTTCATCATTCTGCTTCATTCTAGCTCTATTCTCCCATTCTGCTGTATTTATTAGTTCAAACAACAACTTTACGATCTCTCTGCTTTTTCTTGTCATAGTAGCTTCATTTTATTGGTTCCTCCTTGATTGAGAAGCCATCCTGGAAAGAAATATCAGCTGGGCTGCTGCCTTTAACACCTTTGTTTATTGATGATAGAGTAAGGCCTTTAGTCCTGTTTTGCTCAGCTTTTAGTGTGTGAAACTGTATGTTCTTTCATTTATCTCATTGCCATGAAAACTGTTCAGAGCTCGTCTGATTAACTGTTCTTTCCCAGACAGAGCCACCTGTGGTGATAGTTTAGAGTTATCTTTTATAACAAAGAAAGTATTTATGGACCAGTTCTTCTATGTTCCTTTTGTACGTCTGCTTTTCTCCAGGAAAAAGTTTTTGCCAATGAGCCTGGCTCTGCTGGAGGTTTCCTCTCCACTGTCACTGCATATATGCAAGGTGTGAGGGATTTCTGACATCAAAGATAAAATGCAAGCATTTATCGACTGTCAACACATGCTTCATCCAGGAGGAGCGAATCCAGCAAAGTCAATCACTTGATACAATCTGCTGTTTTTTTTCTTAGAAAACTTTGAACCAGTCTGACTGTATGATCTGGATGAATTGTCTCTGTAAAGTGCTATGTAAACAAACTGAATTGAACTGAAAAGATAAACTTATAAAAGGATGATCGGTGGATGGATAAATTAGATGAGTGTGTGAAAAGATGGATAATTATCTGTTAGGTTAAGATGTGGATGAAAAAAAAACTCATGGATAGATGAGTTTGATGAATGAGCGGCCGGAAGGGGAGAGGAATAATTCAACTTTGGACAGATTGATAGATGAAGCATTAATAGATGTGTAGATGGCTGGATGAAGTAGGCTTAGATTGACTGATGAAAGGAGAAATCAAAAACCCAGAAGAAGTGGCAAGGAATTCGGATCATTATCTGAAATTCACTTATAAAAAAATGGGTCTTAAAACATTTTCTCATTGCTTTTTTCCTCTAAACCGAAACCAGATGAGCGAAGGTCCAAACAGTTTAAGACTACCTATAGGAACCACTTTAGAAGTCAACAGCAGACAGATCCCTCTGCAAACATTTCACAAACAGAAACTGCTCCAGGTGGATGTTTATTCAATGTTTCAGCGTGAATATCGGGTTGCATGTTGCAGGAAATAGCTAAATAGTTTACATCGTGCTCATCAGATGCAGCACTTTCACCCTTCAACTGCTCCATCAAGTAGTTTAATCAAACAAGTGTTTCTAGTCTCAATATCATTTTCGATCATAAAGAAAAACAAAAGACAGGAAGCAGCAAGCCTGAGCTTTTATTTACACTTAAAACAGTGTAGGAGCTGGAATCCAAACACATCTAGTCATCAGGTGTATTGCAGCCGTGACAAAAGCTAGTATAAACTGGCTTTAAAGCAACACCTTGTACACGTTATGAAAAGGCTGTACACATATTAATGCACATAAATGCATATTTGCATAATTTCTCATCAGATCCAAAAGACAGGATCTAAGATATCAAAAGTTAAGGTACATGAGATGTCTTCCAGCACTGATGTGTTTGACAGATCTTTTCTGGCACTCTGCGAATCATGCATGCGAGGCAAAAAAAACAAGTGTTGCACCAGTCAATCAGAAAGTGGTCAGAATCTTAATCTGCAGTTTAAACACTGATTTAAATAATCCATAAATGCATCGAAAATCAAAACTCCCATTTTCTCCAGTTACTTGACAAATTGAAAAAGTTATCAGCTGCATTTGGGCTCATCTAAATACATCATCGGTTACATTCTGTCTCACAAATAACATTTGAATGTTTTTAAGACATCTGGGGAAAAAAAAAAAGTTAATCATGGAAGTGATCACAGAATTAATAAGAACAAGCAAAGAAAAGGATTCAAAAGTCAGCCAGTTTTTCCCTGATTTGCTCCGACTGCTGATCAGCTGATTAAATGCTACAGAAATTATTTTCTTTCTTACTGTTCTTTAAATGCATCAAAACCCCAAACTTTTTCCTAACACACGATGATCAATCAGCATCTACTTTGTTGCTTTACTGCATAATCTGGGATTAATCCTGTAATTTTCTTCCTTTACTTTACCGACAGCTAAATCGATTGCAAAATACATGGCAAAGTACTTAAATTTATGCAAAAGTTGTTTTGTTTTTTAAATAATGAATACGTTTTTCAATTATGCAGGTTCACAAATTATAACAATTTTCTAAATTTTTGTGATTTGGATCCAGTAAACACAGAGTGATATTTTTCAAGCATTTATATCTGTTAATTTGGATCAATTCTGCCAACAGCTCATAAAAAGCTGGAGAATTTAATTTAACACAGAGCCCAAGCTGCAAAGCCTCATTGTTAAAACAGCTGCTGTACTCAAAGGAAGGTTTAGTGGAAGGAAAAAGTGTGGTAGAAGATGCTCAGCAACAGGTATTACAGCAGGAAGGCTTTAATTGCTCTTTTTAAAGGAACCTTAAATTGGGTTCCTGCTAGCAGTAAACCATAATCATCGAAAGAGAATAAATTATTTCACATGTATTACTCTGTGTTTATTGAATCAATTTAGCTCCATCTTAAGAATTTAATTACAGAAATAAGTTAATTGATATTTATTAAAATGCATCTGGGTGCATCAAGATCTCTGGGAATTCTAAGGTTAAATATTTAGGAAAGCAATGGCTTGGGAAACGTCTGATTGGTGCATCGTCAAGCACTAAAGATGCTTGTTTCAAACTGAAACGAAAACTCAAAGCTTGTTGGGGCAGAAGCAGCTGAAAGACAAAGTAAACAAACATCCTCTTTGGCATACAACTGTTATTTCCTAACAGTTTTCTTTTTTTGTGTAATGCAGTAAAGGCAACATAAGAGTAGAGCATTACAACAAAAATGAAAATTTTTTTGTGTATCTTGACTGTAACAGGTGGCTTGTGGGATTAAAACATTATCATTAGCAGCAACTGGAAAGTGTTGATTAGCTTCATCTGTAAATTAAAAAAAAAACAGCACAAGACACTTCCAGCAAGAAGTTTGGGAATGAAAAAGATTCACAGGATACCGATCAAAACGATGCATTCAGGTTCTCTTCCATCCCAGTAAGCAGATGCAACAACTGCATCCTGATGCATGGCAACCATAGAACCATTGTGAAGTCCGTTTTCCTTTCTCTCCATGCATCAAAAATAGGCTCCAACATTATTGTGTTTTTCACAGTGTTTTTGTGGCCTTGAGTCAACAGAGACGAACATGAGGCATTGTTGAATTTGTATTTAGTGCAGCGAGTGTGATAAAGATGTAGGAGGCACAGTAGAGTTCTGCAACAGATCCGAGGACGCCTTTTTTGTCGCCATCAGGAGTCTTCACTGGCACGTTTGCGGGATTGGTCCCCCCTGGGGACAGGAAAGATAAAGACCTTAGTGATTCTGGTGCAGACTGGAGAGTCGGAAACCAAAGCTGCGGGAAACCGACCGTGGGAAACCGTTCATGGAGAGCTCCATCTGCAGCTTCCGGTCATGGTCTGCGTAATCGGGCAGCCGAGATTCAACAGCAGGAGGGTGGATCTGCGGTATGAAGCTGGAGAAGAGGGCCGGAGCGAGCTGGGCCCACTCTGAAAGGACAAAAAATTATATTTATGGATCAGAAGGACTTTAAAGTATAAGAACTCCCCTATCTGATGTCCATTAACGCATACGTCACCTGGACATAGGCTGTAGAGGCCTTTAACCACACTGGCCATCGTGGATGGTTGAACTTGAAAGGGCATGGAGTGAGCTTTAATGAGCAGAGCTGGAAATAAATGAAAACGAAGTCTGAATGTGGTTCAGAGAGAAAAAAAAAAGCCAGAACATTGTAGGATGAGGTGTGTTTTACTTCTTTGATGTGTTGCTTAACAATAAATAGTTAAGCCGTTTGGTGGACAGAAGTAACAATTACAGCGCTAAAAGATATTTCTTCAATGCAAAAGCTATTAACTTATCAAACAGAGCAAATTTTAATCTAATAAACCATTAATCCAAAATGATTTGGTTATTTGTTTAAATCATTTGCTCTGTTTCTGGCCTCAGAGCAGATAAAGAGCATCATGAAAACCAAGGAACACAGCAGACAGGTCAGAGAGAAGGTTGCAGAGAAATTTAAAGGTCTAGAGGATGATCTTTTATTTCCAGGTGGATCATCTAAATAAGTTCACTGGAAAAAAATCCAAATCTAGACAAGTCCTTTTTTCTTAAAATAAGTGCATTTGTTCTTGAATTGAGGAGATAAAAGAGACATATTGTCAATGGAACAAGACAACTTAGGTTTAAAATAAGAAAACACAACTGCATCGTCTTATTTCAAGTGCATATTATCTAATTATCTTATTTTAAAGCTAACCACAGACAAAAGAACCCCTGCCTAAAAAAAAAGCTATGAAATCTCCCATTAATTTGCAGTGAAAGCGACGCAGTAGTCATGAGAAACAAATTGATCTGGTCAGATGAAGTAGCAGTTACAGTTTTAAAAACATGGGGGTGGCTGCATCATGCTGTGGGGGAGCTACATGTGGATGATTTTGTGCTGTCCTGTAGATCAGGCATCCCCAACCTCGTCCTCAAGGCCCCCTGTCCTGCAGGTTTTAGAGGTTTCTCTGCTTTAGCACGGCTGATTATAATCATTGCAGTAGACCAAAATCCTGTTAATCAGCTTTCAATTAAAATCAGCTGTGCTGGAGCAAAGAAACCTGCAGGATAGCGGGCCTCGAGGACCGAGGTTGGGGATGCCTGCTGTAGATGCATCCCTGATTCAGCACACCAGGCTCAAAACTTCAACTTAACTGGGTTCTGCTAATTACCCAGTTAGTGGACCCCGGTGTGTTGAAGCAGGACCCCAGCCTCTGAGGACCAGCGTTTAACACTTATGGTTTAAATCAACCTCTGAAGACTGAAGTCTCCAGATGATGCAAAGCTATTAGGTGGGTCTATATACAACTGACTAGAAAAATCTGATGAAGGTAATAACAACAAGCTCTCACGCATCAATTTGCTTAGATGTTTTTCTGCAACGTGGTCTGCAAACAGCTTCATCAGATCCTCTTTCAGGTCTCGGTTCAGTTTCGACTCAATATAAAACTTGTTCTGAAATATAGAAAAAAGTATGAAAAGTAGCTATAATATCTTCTTTTTTTTTTTTTTCGGTGGCACAAAATAGAAACAATACCTACCAAGTATATAAACACTGGAACGATGCACTGAAGAGAGGCTAAGTACTGAGTCAGAGCAACGTTGAAGTTCTCAATCAGGCTCTGAGGTGGGCTGGCCTGTCGATAAGTCAGACAAACTTTAGCTTTATTCATATTCTCTTTGAGGTATTTCACTGTATTTGGGTTTTCTTACCTGTAGCTGCGTGGAAACCTGCTGCAGGTGAGCGGTTATCTTTGACGTCAGGTCACCGTAGAGCAGCTCTGAGTGCTGCTGGCAAACACACTTGTAGACGTAACTGAGAATAAGAATCAGCAGAAGAGCAGCAAATTAATGAAGGTATGCATTTCAGCTGCTCTGTCATGACCAGCAAAACCAAACACTGAAGGCAAAAAAAGCAGTGACTCAGCACCACCTAGTGGACAGAACAAATTGATGAAAAAATATCACCAGTGTTGAAAATTTAAAAAACTATTAATCAACAGTAGACCTCATATCTACGGAAGAGGATTAGGGCCACTGGAAAAAAAAATAAAAAGTTAACTGATTTTTTTTTATTTTA